GGCTGGGCCTGATCCCCTGGTTGTCCCACTCATGCCTTGTGAGCGCCCTCAAGATGAACCACTCCATAATCTTCCCCGGCACCGAGGTCAGGCTGACAGGCCTGTAGTTCCCCGGATCCTCCTTCCGGCCCTTCTTGTAGATGGGCGTCACACTGGCAAGCTTCCAGTCGTCCGGGACATCATTCCAGTAGATGAATGCAAAAAAATTTCTATTTCCATTCACTAGAATGAGTTAAGAAGTGTGATAACCTTTAGTGATGGATGCAATATTGTAAAAATGTCCTGTTTTGCAGAAATACAAAAACATGTAACGCAGATAAAGAGCAAACTTCAAAATTACCACTAAATCCCCCTTTTTTTAAATTTTGATAAAAATCTCATCTAACACTGAAATGAAAACTCATCTGTCATTCAGAGCAAAGGAGTGCTTTACAGGTGCTGACAACTGTATGTTGTACATCGTATTCTAATCAGAATTTGTCATGTACTTGAAGTAAATATGGACAACTTCTTCATTATATCTAGTAGCTATTAACTGAGAAATGTCTGCACCTCAACTTTGAGGTTTTAGAAGTCTCTACTTGTTCTAATGCATGTGTTACACACACACACACACACGTACATGCACACTTATTTTCTTTTTCCTAAGAAGCTCTAGAAAGCATTTACTGTTTGAGAACAGAGAAGCATGTAAGCATCCATGCTCTGTGGGTATTGGAATGAATTGTCATTTTGTGTTGATAACGAGGGTGAGAATATGCATTTGTAACTTAATGTTGTAGGTGCTATGCTATTATGACCAACCAAGAGAGGGAGGTGAGGAGGGGAAGCTTACAGGTGTGTGATATGTGATAATGGAGCTCTACTATTTATGGCTTGTTCATAATTTAAAAAGGCAGATTTATTTATTTTATTTTAGAAAAGCTATCTCCCAAAAGTCCAAAGGCACTCCATAAGGAAACTTATTAATGCTTTGCCCATCTTCACTTATACCTATATACCTTATAACTTCACTTAAAATTATAGATAGATAGATACCTTATACCAATGTCATACATAAACACATTGAAGACCAAGCAGGGCTGTAGCCCAGAGGTGAGGTATGACTACAGCCTCATCTAAGAGAGGGCTGTGAGGCATGTGAATATACCACAAGTGCCATATCGGCTGGTGCTTGTAAGAGGGGCATTAAATCTGCGCCTGCCCAATTACTGTGCTTTGTTGGGCTGGGAGAAATGCTAGGCTCTCACAGAATCAGAGAATGGTTGAGGTTGGAAGGAACATTTGGAGGTCATCTTGTTCAACCTGCTCCTGCTCAAGCAGGGTCATCTAGAGCAGGCTGCCCAAGACCATGTCCAGGCAGGGCTTTTGAATATCTTCAAGGATGGAGAGTCCACAACCTTGCTGGCCACGTGTTCAATGACCCTGAAAGTGTTTCCTGATGTTCAGAGGGAACTTCCTGTGTTTCAATTTGTGCCCGCTGCCTCTGGCCCTGTCTTTGGGCACGGGCACCACTGGCAAGAGCTTGGCTCTGTCTTCTTTCGACCCTCTTTTCAGGTATTTATATTCAATGATATAATCCTCCTGAGCCTTCTTTGTTCTAGGCTGAACAGTCTCTCAGCCTTTCTATATAGGAGAGATGATCCAGTCCCTTCATCATCTTCATGACTCTTTGCTGGACTCCCTCCAGTATGTACATGTCTCTCCTGTACTGGGCAGCCCAGAACTGGACACAGTATTTCAGGTGTGGCCTCACCAGTGCTGAGTCGAGGGGAAGGATCACCTCCAATGACCTGCTGGTAGCACTCCTCTGAATGCAGCTCAGAATACCATTAGCTGCCTTTGCCACAAGGGCACATTGCTGGCTCAGGTTCAACTTGGTGTCCACCAGGACCCTTAGGTCTTTTTCCACCAAGCTGCTTTCCAGCTGGGTGGCGCCCAGCATATACTGGTGCATGGGGTTGTTCCTCGCCAGATGCAGGACTTTGCAATTCTCCTTGTTGAATTTCACAAGGTTCTTGTCAGCCCATTTCTCCAGCCTGTCGAGGTCCCTCTGGATGGCAGCATGACCCTCTAGTGTATCAGCCCAGTTTTGTATCATCAGCAAACTTGCTGAAGGTACACTCTGCCCCATCATCCAGATAACGAATGAAGCTGTTGAACAGTACTGGACCCAGCACTGATGCCCTGGGGTGCAACGCTAATTACTGGCCTCCAACTAGACTTCGTGCCACTGATCACCACCCTCTGGGCCAGCCATTCAGACATTTTTCAGTCACCTCACTGTCTGCTCATACATCAACAGCTTGACTACGAGTCTCTTATGTGAGACAGTGCTGACAGCTTCACTCTGAAATCTGTGTAGACAATATCCACTGCTCTCCCCTCATCCACCAAGCTAACCACCTCATTGTGGAAGGGTATCAGGTTGGTTTTGAAAGCAATGTTACTGTGGAGATGAATTATTACTGGGTTTTCAAGAGCTGGTGTATTTTACTCTCTCTATATATGTAGTGAGTGCGTGTTTCTGTTTCTCTTCAGGAATTTTGTGAATACTTTTATTCAGTTTAAGAAGCCTATCATTGTAGCAGTAAATGGCCCAGCCATTGGACTTGGAGCATCTATATTGCCTCTGTGTGACGTGGTTTGGGCTAACGAGAAGGCTTGGTTTCAGACACCATACACTACTTTTGGACAAAGTCCAGATGGATGTTCATCCCTTACATTCCCTCGGATAATGGGCCTGGCTTCTGTAAGTAGCTTGCAGGGTAGGGGCTGGCAGCTTCACAATGCAGTTGTGATAATTTATCCAGAGTGATTTCAAGACTTTTTACCTTTGCTGTGTTGTCTTGTCTTTACTTTTTCTTTCTCTTATGAAAACCTTTCATGAGAAAGCAGTATTTATAGCTTCTCTGCTCCGTGCTGTTACAACCTAGTCTTCACCTGCGTGCACAGAACAGAAAGCAGGCACGGGACCTAATCCCGCGTCATGGGTGCCCTTAACCCTGATGGTGGCAGAAGGGTTATGTCCTGCGTACCAGGACACACTTTCCCTGCTGATGCCTTGTGAGGACCAGCCGCTAGTGTCTTGCATTCAGCACAGCATCAGAGTGTAGCAGAGAATGGGCTGGTCTGCGCTCAGTGTCATTACACAGTAGAGCACCGTGTCACCAGCTATTAGCAGTCTTATGCTAGTATGCAAAATAAGTAATTCAGCTTTCATGCACTCGTTCTCAAGAAGTCGTGTTGAACTTCCTGGTTTTGCAGATCTCTGCTGATGTTTAACACTAGTGTGTCATGCAAGAAATACTCAGTCCAAATCACCTTTGTGAAGGATTTTTTTTTTCAGTCTTGCTCTTGATTTACAGTATTGCTGGATTGGGGCGGGGGGGGGGGAGGAACAATTTGCATTGCTGCTGAAAACATAAGCCCCATGTTACTTAGTACCCCTTTTCTTGCTTTCCAATTAAATGAAATAATGTAACAAAAAGCTATTTAAAAATATCTTATCTACGTTATTTTCATGTTGCTTACTATTTTTTTATGCTGTGTTCTTTGAAAATTCTTAGACCTACGTCCCATTCCAATTTGAAGTTGAACGGTAACAGTATGAAACAAGTGCTTGTAGCTACACCTGTTTTTCCTAAATTACTGTTTATTATAAAAGCCAGTTTTTCCCTGTAGGTATCTATTGATTTAAAAATACAGGTTTTGATATATTAAAAGCATCAGTTTGAACAGATCTAATGACTAATTGTGTGATGTCTGGATTTAGTTATTAGAAGAGAACAGAAAAGGCAACTGAAATAGATTAACAGTTATGAGAGTATCTTTAATATCTTAGCATGTTTCAAACTACTGATTGTTCCTTTCCCTTTTTATTTGGCCATCCGTCCATCCATTCATCCATCCATTCCATCCATCCCCGTCCTTTAGAGACTTGTGGTTTCTTTAGAAGTTGTACAAAAACCAGAAGAAGCTCTTCCCTAGTATGCTCTTTCATGTGTGTTTGTCAATGCTCTCGTTTTTAAATATAAAGATTTAAATTGAAAGCTTCCAGTGATAACAATTCCATAACATTTGGTGCAAAAGGGGAAAAAGAAGTCCCCTGTTTTCATACGGTCCTCAACCCTCTGCATTATAGCAATGTCAGTGCCGTATGGGACAAAGTTGGACTTTAATCAGCAGATTTCATGAAATATATTCAGAATCCGTTCTGAAAATTTTGATAAAGTAGCATGCTTTCTATCTATAAAAGGGAGAGAGAAGTCAGCAGAAAGAAGAGATGGTATGGGTGAGATGAGAAACATTTGGGGGGGGGGGAAATTAAAATACCATACAAAAGAAAGAATTAAGGCCTCTGTAAGCATCATAAAATTTGCTACAAATGTATTAATTGAGGAATATTAGTCCCACCCTTAACTCTTGTAAGTCAGATTCAGTGCCTTCTTTTTATCATCAGCAGTTCTGTAAAAATCTTAATTTCCAACAGCTTTGCCATTGATCTTCCCTACAGGGTCAGTCTTGGCTGATGAGCAGGTCTGTCATGGAGGGTTTTTTTCACAGAACATGTTCAACAGAGGTCATTATTACAGGAAATCTGAAACCCAGACCTTAGGTTTCAAAACTGATGCTGTATTGGTAATACCAAGAATTTTAGAAGGTTTCTTAAACTTGGCTTTTGAGTTTTGAAAATAATTTATAATAGAGATTAAGGTGACGTCTCTTTGGGGAGATATGTTATTGTGCGTCTGCTGTGGAGCTCTTGGTCTGGTTTTCTGGTCCTGGATACAAAGCACAGGAGCTGCGTGATCAAGCTCCACACACTGGGTTTCCCTGTCGGTCTCCAGCACGCTTGGCGGTTATTTCTTACGCTTTTCTGTCAGTCATGAGGGATACGCATTTCCATAGTGCCTGTAGTCCACATCACGGCCAGGGTCTCGGGCGTTACAGAGACCAGCTGCCTCCTGATCGTAGTGCAAGAGAGCCGAGATGCTCCATGGCAGCTAGCGCCTGTGGGCTTGCGCGGAAGGTCCCTCGTGAGCCTCAAAGCGCTCGCTGTAAAAAGAGAGACCAGAGGATGTCCCAGTGAAGTTCTTCTGTGGAAGGAGAAAGGCAGGCTGAGTAGAAAATGAAGGTTGTTAATGAGAATTTTATATTAATGAAATATTTTTATCATCTTCATTTCTCTTGCTGTATTATATTCCTTGGAAAGTAACCACCAGTGTGTTAATTTTCACAGCGGATAGAAGGCATGTTTATATGATTAAAACTTGTTTAGCAGTGGGTCTCCGGCATACGTTGTGTATAGATCAAAAGTTAAGATGCCAGAGCAAAACATTTCCCTTCAAAACCTGTCAGCTGAGAACACTAATGGGAGTGCTCATTTCAAGTGAGGTTTTCTGCTAATGCTGTGTTACAGCTGGCAGAAATAAGATAACTGCACCATTATCACTTGTGGATTTTCATGTTCAGGAGAACTCAGCAGTTGCTACTGAGTTTTAGGGGAAAAAAAAAAAAAATTAAGGCTTTCTAGCATTCACTTTTATCCTTGTGACCACAGATACGTGTGAAGAATATGTTATGTAGACCTGACCAGCTGTCTTAAATTTCTGACTTTCCCAACTCCCAGTTAGATTGACTTCACATTTTGATCTTTGATATAAATGTTAAGTATCTCTTACAATTATTTTGGAAGAAATTTTTTTTCCATATCTCCTTAGGAAAATGATTCCTGTTTTTAGACAAACTTGTGTATATCACTGGTTTTTGGCTAGTGTTTCAGGTTAGTAGTATTCACATATAATCTGGAAAATTAGAAAGTACAGTTGTGATAGTTAATGAACCTTGTATATTTGATTTTGCTTTCACAGAAGGTAGAACTATGGGGGTACATAATTTGTACCTTTAGTTTGAAGCTTGGGTGTGTTTTTTTTTTTTTTTTAAACTAATATATCTGAATCACAACTTTCCATATTTACTCATGAGAGATGTGCTGATGATAACTTCTATGTAAAAGAACCTAGGAAACATCTCTTTTATTACATGCTTAATGGACTGGATGTCAGCAACCAAACTGCCAGTAGAACCCAGACTTTGTATTTCATCACAAAAGGACAAGTAATAGACCTCTGAGTTTTCAAATTTCTTCATGTGTAAAATAGCAATGCTAGGAACATTACCTACAGTAATTAGATAACTTGAGGTCCTTGACTGAAAGTTGCTGTAATAATTACTACATTTCCAGTATTAGAAAACATTAAAAAACTCAGAATTTTGTCCTCAGAAATGCTCTACCTGTCAGGTTTGAGTGTTTTATAACAGCCTTATTTCCCATATTTCAAGAGTCCAGTGATGGCTTTGTCATATTTTCACTGTAAATTACTCATTAAGAAACAGTAAAACTGATTTTTTTTTTTGAGGTTGACAATTACTCTGACTTTTTAATCTTCACTGGCTGTTTCCATGCAGATGTCACCGCAAACAACAAATTTAACTATATAAGAAACTTCACTAGAGGTAGAATTAAAGCATAAGCGTAAATGGTTGTAGGATGAAGCTTTAATGTGGAAGCTGATAAATAGTGAAGTGTATGATAATTACAAATCAAAAAGATTTACAGAACTAGAGATCACCTTACTGCATAGAATGTAGTACTCTGTTCTGTACCTTTAAACTATGTACAAGATCTTTTAAATATTGGGGGTTTTTAATAAGACTGCTAAATCAGCTTTTGAAAGGATTTATCAGTTCAATATTGAACTCCTGAATAAAATGGGAATGTTTATTTTCTATGAATTTGATCAGAAACTGGAATACATCCTGCTCATTTCAGTGGGTTTTGGAGGTCACGTTCTAAGATGATCCAGCTATTTAAGTGTTGCATCATAAATGAAATACTGCTGAAGACTTTGGAGAAGTGCTGAAAATAAACCATATATTTTAGGTTTCAAACATTTTTCAGTACTGAAAAACATTTTAGTTGCAAAATATTTAACTGTTCTTTTCTACCAAGACTGGCAGTTCCCAGGAGGTCTACTACCAAAACTGGGTTTTCTTTATAATCTACAGATAATGTAGACTTTTAGCAAATATTTCATTGCTGCAACTAACATTATAATAAAGGGCAAGCTGATGTATTCCACTGCCGTTTTACAGATCTGCCAGGCATTATAACCTATTACCACATACACAGTTAATCAAGTCAGCAATACTGCAGGAAAGCTAGAGCTAATGAACATTCATGAATCGGAAATGGCAAAAGACATTTTCACATTTAACCTCTATTTTTATAACTACTGATGTAGTATAGTCAACTAACACCGACCAGCTATCTGTAGGCAAGTCTTTATTAATTAAAAGTTGGAAGAGCTGCAGTAAGACTATTTCAAATAGTGCAGGCATTTTCCTTATTTGTTTTGAACATTTTTCCTTTAATGAGTTTTGTCTCATTACATTTCATACCAGAAGTAACTTTTTATCCCTTCAGGCCAATGAAATGTTGTTCAGTGGAAGGAAGTTGACCGCGCAGGAAGCTTGTGCCAAAGGACTCGTCTCTCAAGTGTTTTGGCCGGGAACATTCACACAAGAAGTAATGGTTCGAATTAAGGAACTTGTCACTTGTAATTCAGTTGTAAGTTTCCTTTATTTTCTTACAATACATTTTTGTGATTAGATCAATAAAAATTAATCCAAGTATTATTAGAAAACATCATTATGTCCTTTTAAAAAAGATTATTTTCACGAAACAAGGACCGGATTTTAGTATAGCAATGTCTTTTAACACATTCTTATGTATCTCTTTGTTGCTGGGTTTTTGAGGTTTTTTTTTTTTTTAATTTGTATCTGACTCTTCTTTATCATATGTCATAGTACATTGTGGCTAAGAACATTAAACCAGCATTGGTCTCTTTACAGTATATTTTGGTTTTAACGTAGTTGCAAAATCCAACTTTATTCTAATCAACAATGTAAACAGTTGCCCTAAGAACTGCACAGAAACACAGAAATCTTGAGTTACCTAGAGTTGTAATTTAAATTACCAAGGAAATAAATGCAGTCTTTGGTATTATGTTGAACTTAGTTTTACAAGTAATGCCTAGTGCATTTGTGGTTGTGCGCGCTACTGGCAGTTGCACAAGATAGCTAAAACTACAAATATTTGATGCTTTCTTATGAGAAGAGACGCAGTACAAGTTAACTGTTCTGTGTGTTAGAAATTTTGGATTTTGAAACAGATTAATAGTTTTCTAAATGGAAAAGCAAATGAGATTTTTTCAGCCTATTTTGAATGCTCAAGACATTCAAGGTCTGCCTGGTTATATTAGAGTGGTTCTGGATAATAGTGTTATGATTAGCCTTCACAAAATGGAGTTAGAGGTTTCTCTAGTTATCGGCATAAAACCATATATATATATTCATAGTTATGATTTTGATTTTCATTATTTCCACATTTTTGTGTACTTGTAAAATTGTGCTGGTATTGGGTAAAGGAAATCCTGTGTGATGCTATGAGAGACTGAGAAACGTTTCTTAGGGTCATAGTATGTCCATGAACTGATAAGCTTAAGTTCATAATCAACTTACAGGTTTATATGGACGAATTCTGAATCATAGAATCATAGAATCATTAAGGTTGGAAGAGACCTCCAAGATCATCGAGTCCAACCATCAACCCAACACCACCATGCCCACTAAACCATGTCCCTAAGCGCCTCATCTACCTGTTTTTTAAATACTTCCAGGGATGGTGACTCAACCACTTCCCTGGGCAGCCTGTTCCACATGAAGCGCACATGTTGCTCAGTTCTCATGTAATACTAACCCAACTCCCTTTTTCTTTTTTTGGCCTAGGTACTTGAAGAATCCAAAGCTTTAGTACGTAATATCATGAAGGTGGACTTGGAACAAGCAAATGAAAAGGAGTGTGAAGTTTTGAAGAAAATCTGGGGCTCAGCACAAGGGATGGACTCAATGTTAAAATATCTGCAGAAGAAAATTGATGAGTTCTGATGAGATGCCCATTGACACTGGAATTGTACTTCTTGGACATGAGGGCAAACAAAATATGCCCATTTTAAAAAACCTATATAAACTCAGCCCTTGCTCATCTTGGGAACAGGAGTGGACTCCCCCCTCCCCTTTTATTGTCAAGGGGTTTAAAAGTACTGTATCACTTAAATTTGAACAAAACTCCTTTCTCCTTGATTGTTACATATAGAGATATATACACACACACAAGTGTATGTGTGTGCATATATATGTCTTTATATATATAATGTAATATGTGTGTGTGAGTGTGTATGTAGACATACACACACAAGCTAAAAAAAAAAAATGAGTGCACTACCAAACACCTCTTTAAAGGCTCTAGTTTTTGTTATCTTTGGCTAGTACTGTATCAAATAGAGAATGGATTAAAAAGTGAATGGTGTTGCATTACTTTCTGTGTGGCAGGGAAGTCTGGAATAATGCTTTTCTTCTTCATTAGAAAACAGAATTGAAACGGGTATTAGCCAGCCCTTACTTTCACTGCCCAACGAGTCAGCTAAGATACAAGGCATTGTCCCAGAAGAAGGTTGAAATACCTCAAGTAATGGAACATTCTAAAATTTTTGGGAATTAAACCCTATGAAGATTAAATCACAAATATCCCCAAAAAGAGAGTGTGCTCAGGATTAATGCTAAGAAAACACTCTGTCCTTTTTTGGGGGGAGGTATAGAGGGGTAGGAAGAAGGGGGCAAGAATATATTTAATTCTTACCCAGATAGCATGAAGAAACCACTGTCTCTTGGGGAAGGGGAATGAGGGGAAGTGGGAGGGAAATGGAAGGGGGAAGAAAAAAACAAAAAAAAGCTTGTTTTGCAGTATTAGTGAATCACTGAATATCTTATGTATGAATATCCTAAGTTATAAGTTAGTTTTAGTGGGTTTTTAAATAGTCTCTCTGGGTTTGTTTTTTTGTTTGTTTGTTTTTTGTTTTTTTTTTTAAAATAACTACATAAGTGCTTCTGTTGCTGGGTGAGAATACTACTTTATATACAGTTTGGGTTCTGTTTTTGGTTCCTTTTTTCCTATTTGCTGGTTTAATTGATGTATTACACCAAAAATGCATTTTATGTTCATAAATTTTAGGTTCACTTAGAATATATTATTTAATAAGTTAAAATTCTTTTGGCACACTATTAAGTAAAAAAAAAAAAACTCCTTTAAAAAAAACTACCTTATATTAGATGTTTAATGTTCTTTGTCTATGCTTTTTTATTATTTTAAATATACACTATATACAGTATGGTGTAAAAGAGTGCCCTGTGTAAATAGACCTATTTTGCATTCCTTTCAGGAGTGGTTATTAATTCCTGACTGCAGATATCTATTATTACTTGGGTATCTGTGCTTGCAATCTTATTGAATGTATTATGAAGAATGAAAAAGAAATCAAACCTTATTTTTGTACAGTTTTGAAGTTTTTACTTGGAACTGACCCACCTCCCCTTCCCAGTGGAGAGCTGTACAGTGTGTAAATCTGCCTTTACCTTGGATTGGTACAGTATTTTTGCATCTGTGGGACCTACTTTTTTGTTCTAGTAGTTTGAACTATATATAAACTGTACAATCTGTAAAGTTTTTATAGAATAAATATTCAGCTGTGAAAACTGGTTAAATAAAACTAATATTTCTTAACACATTTTAAATGTGGTTCTCATAGTTGTCTCTTTCAAAGATGTTTCAGTTTGATTTTTAAAGTAGGCATTGCTGAAACAAATCTTGCACATCAAAGACTTCAATGTTTATGTTTTGTTAAACTTGTATAAGCTCTCAATAATTTCCTTCAAATAAGAAGGTGAAAATTAATTTACTGTTGTAACCTAGATAGAAGATATCTCTTAGAGGAGGTGGATGGGGGAAGATGACATATAGGAAGTTATTCTACTCAATTATTTTGTTACAGTTCTAAAAGAACATTCAGTAAATGTTTCTTTGCAATCATCTCTTAAAAATGGGTCATTTTCAAAAAATGTGCTAAAGGAAGAATTCCTGAGTTGAATTTGATTTTATTGAAAGGGAGAAGGAAAGATACCTTACCTACAGTTCTGTAATGTTAAACCTTTTGGAGTTTGACTCAAATTTATATAAAGATCCCTTTTCTGGCAGCTTGTAAGAAGCATTTGGGCATAGATTGCATCTATTGCAGCTGGAAGATTATTTATGCTTTCCTTAAACATGAAAGAACTTCACCTATAACAAAAGACTGGATCTAGAGATATTTTGCTTTATAATTCAACTGGGAAAATAATTCTACTTGCTTCATTTTTTGTGTTACTATCAGCCAGGCTGTCACGCTGCCTACAATTTGCGTATTAAGATGTGAACAACTTGGTGACCAGGTAAATTCCTGTCTTTGATGGGAAAAAGTCCTTAGTTCAGACCAATTCATATGCACTCTCAGTGTCACTGGGCAATTGCCTCACCTTTATATTAGAAGCAGTAACTAACTAACTTTACACTATTAACAACAAATTATCTCTCACTGATAAATAATGTACACATTTTGTCTATATACTGGACTACAGGGATACCGTCCAGTTCTTTTCAGTGTGGGTCACTAAATACCCTTCGTTGTGTGTGAAAGTTACAGTTAAGTCTGGTGTAGTCTTTGTAAAACCATAATAGAACAAAGAAAAATTAGACTTCTAATAGTAAGCAAGAAGGCCTGAGATATCATAAAAACTGACTTCGGACACTTTAAAATGAGTGTTTTCAAGGCTTTCTTCACAGAAGACACAGGTCTTTGCCTAGCCTGGTTCATTGCTGATGCTTGTATTGTTCTACACAGATTTGCAGTACAGCATAGCTAAACTAATGTACTTGGAACTGTTTGAAAGGCACCTGTGTACATTTAGCCACACTTTCTGCTGATATGTTAGTTTGAGCAAAAATAGAAAGCAGAGCAAGGTGTTTAGCTCTGGGTAAGCTAACTTACCCCCAAATACCTTTGTTGTAAGCCTGAAGATCTGAACTCGCCTATACGTCTTTTCCTTGTTCAACCTTCCTAATTTGCATGAATCCCGGATTTGAAGCACTTTCCTTCAGTGAGTCGTGCACCGGCTTGCCAGCATTGCTAAGAAATAGGCATCTCTGTGCTTCAGAAGCTGCACCATTATCACTCTGAAAACAAGGTTCAGGGGAATTAAATCATCTTTTTAGGTTAGATTCATCTTAAAGTCAGGCATACTTGAAAGGAATAGAAAAAACACATAATGCTGAGCTATAAACTGCTTAACTTTACACTGATACATTCCATGCTTTACCCAAACAGTGAATAAAATAGGACTGCAGCCATCTAGGGAATGAGGCAGCAAAAAAACACTTCTGGCCAAGTGAACAGGAGAGACTTTCTTCAATAAATGGAGCCTATGCTCTACCTAGATTTGTGGTTGGTGGAAGGTGAGGCACCTCACATTCATCTGGGACATGGCAACTATGCTTCTGAGGAGAGTACGAAGGAGGAGATACCTCAAGTCAATTAGTTTGCCATATGATTTTCCATCCTAAGGAACTGCCAGCAGCTGTCAACACACAGGCTATCTTACAGAGCTGTAACAGAGGCCGAGTTGGCAACCTGAAGTCATGCAGCATGGGAGCTCGGTTATACTGAAGATGGCACACAGGCGAATTTTCCTTTCCGAGGGAAGGAGCGTTAGGAGGAGAGCCCCGGTACAGCACAAGATCACCATGGTCCTGTTCTGTACAGCCCCTCAGATTTCTCTAGAAAATACTTCACTCACAGGTGTCTGCATTTTTTTTTCTTACTCATAAGGGACATGACTGGCAGATTAAGTAAGTCAGCCATGCACCAGACTTACTAACAAACAAAAACCAAGTATGATTACCTCATGAGGTACTCACAGGATGAAGAGTGGTTTGATGTGCAAAGATTTTGAAGTGCAATATAAAATGAGAAGATGGTGATGAAGTTCTTTTGGTCCTCCTCATCCCTCCTGCACAGGGAAAAATACAACAAATAAGGGGAATTAGAAACCACCAAAAACAGCAGGTAAGAAGTCAAAGGAGCTGCAGGAGGAAATAAAGGAATGGCAGTCAAGTTCCTTAAGTCAAGTCCCCATTCTTATCACTCTCAATGCTGGAAGAGATGATACAATTGACAAGAATACCAGGTGGATATCCATATACCTGTTCCATACAGCAGTGTGGAGTACGTTATCAGTACCTATGCCTAAACTCAGGCAGACTACGAGCCTCACATTCACAGGCCCTGATCCTCAGGGGAGACATCCACCCTGATGTCTCCTGGGGGGACAACACAGAGAAGAGAAGGCTTGAGGGGAATCTCCTCAATGTACATAAATACCTGGAGGGAGGGTACAAAGAGGATGGAGCCAGGCCCTTTTCAGTGGTGCCCAGTGACAGGACCAGAGGCAGTGGGCACAAACTGAAACACAGGAGGTTCCCTCTGAACATCAGGAAACACTTTCTTCCTGTGGGGGTGACTGAGCACTGGCACAGGTTGCCCGAGGAGGCTGTAGAGTCTCCTTCCTTGGAGATACTCAAAAACCATATGGCCATGGTCCTGGGCAACCAGCTCTAGGTGATCCTGCTTGAGCGGCAGTGGGTGGGACCAGATGACCTCCAGAGGTCCCATCCAACCTCAACCAGTCTGTGGAAAAAAAAAAAAACCCAACCCACTTGCATTCATTTTCCAACTATCCAGTCATTATCCACCAAACAACCTCTATGGCTAGAACTGCAGGTTCATCAGGCTCTGCAACACTACATGCTTTAGTCTTTGAGAACCCAACATCTTGTGCTGGATGATACCAAATCACCCAGAACAAAGGTAAGTACAGATCAACTCACATGTTTCAGGTAAGACAGAGATCATCCTTTACCCTGTCTGTTAAAAAGCATATAGATGGTTGGTTGTTCAAAGAAAAAGAATTTATTTGTTTCTTCGAGGATAAACAGGATCGCAATACTTAACCAAAACAAATGCATGCCTTTTACAGTACCTGAAACATTACTTTGGCCTCAGCAGCTCCTTGAAATCTTGCATTTTTTCCAAGATCTGCCTCAATCAATCAAGCTGAACAGTAATCCAGCCACTGGCGGTCATACTGAAATGTAACCACATGGGCTACTCAAGAAGACAGCATATAGTGTGTCTTTAGGTACAATATAACCCATTTTTACTATGTCCTCTGGATATAACTTACTAAACACACACTATAGGACAACTATGTAACTGCAAGGTGAGAA